ATAACAGTCCTAAAGCAATTTTTAACACTCCTCCTTGCTTTAGGAGCTGCAAATCCCAATTTTCTTCCTTAGAAGCTCGAACTTGCTTACTGGAAGTGGTTTTGTAAACAAATCTGCTAGCTGATCTTCAGACTTGCAATAAATTAGTGTAACCTCTCCAATTTTCTGCACTTCTCTCAAGAAATAAAGCTTGATGTTGAAATGTTTAGTTTTGCCATGAAATACCGGATTGTGAGAAATTGCAATTGCTGCCTGATTGTCAACAAAAATCTCTGTTTTATCTTTCTGCTCCATATGTAAATCACACATAATTTTTTTTAACCACAAGACTTGGTTTACTGCTGCAGTTGCTGCAATAAATTCCGCCTCAGCAGTGGATTGTGCCACTATCTCCTGCTTCTTTGAGCACCATGAGAAGACTCCCGATCCTAAGCCGAAACAATATCCGGAAGTGCTTTTCATGTCATCAATGGATCCAGCCCAGTCACTATCTGAGAATCCACATAACTTGAAGCTTTGACACTTCTCAAACTTGACACCATAATTATCAGTACCTTTGATATACCTTAATATTCTTTTTGCCGCTTTTAAATGCATTTCACTGGCACAATGCATAAAACGAGACAAGATACTTACAGCAAATAGAATATCAGGTCTTGTTGCAGTAAGATACATTAAGCAACCAATCAGACTTCTAAAGTATCCTTCATCAACTTTATCAGTACCATCTTCCTTGCCCAGCTTCTCCTTTTGATTCATTGGTGTGCTTGTTGCTTTGCACTCCTCCATCTGAAATTTCTTCAATATTTCCTTTGCATACTTCTTTTGGCAGATGAACACTTCATTTTGGCTTTGCTTCACCTCCATTCCAAGAAAGTAAGTCATAAGACCAAGATCTGTCATTTCGAAAACATCTGTCATTTCTTGTTTGAACTCTTCAATCAGCCTTGCATGATTTCCTATTACCAAAATATCATCAACATAAAGAGACACTATGAGAACATCATTGCCCTTCTGTTTAACATAAAGAGTGGCCTCAGATAAGCTTTTAGTAAATCCCAAGCTTTGCAAATGATCATCTATCCTGCTGTACCACGCTCTAGGCGCTTGTTTTAGGCCATAGAGAGCCCTTTTTAGCAGATAGACCTTATCCTCTTCACCTTGAACCACAAATCCATCTGGCTGCTCCACATATATTTCTTCCTGCAAAACACCATTTAAGAAGGCTGATTTGACATCTAACTGAAACACTTTCCAGCCTTTTTGTGATGCTATGGCTAGCAACAATCTGATTGTGTCTAGTCTAGCAACGGGAGCAAAAGTGTCAGAGTAATCAACACCAAAAATCTGAGCATAACCCTTAACGACAAGCCTGGCCTTGTATTTGTTGATGGAGCAATCTGCATTAAGCTTTGTTCTGTATACCCACTTTACTCCAATTACTTTTCTATCTTTAGGTCTTTCAACTAATTCCCATGTTTTATTCTTTTGGATCATTAACATCTCCTCCTCCATTGCTTTCTTCCACTTCGGAACTTTAAGAGCTTCTTCATGTCCAGCAGGTTCGCATATTACCACATTACATCTCTGATAGATGTCTGAAAGTGGCCTTGTTCCTCTAACAGGAGGATCATCTTCCAATTCATTTTGCCACTGGTCTGCTGTTTGCTCTCCAAGGGAATTGCCTTTAATTTCTAGTAAAAGTCTGCCCGTTCTTTGTGAATCATCCCATTTCCATTGCTCATCCTCGTTGAAGTGAACGTCTGTAGTGATCGTCATTTTTCCTGTTTGAGGATGATATACTTTGTAGGCTTTAGAAACTGAACTATAACCCACAAAGATACCTGGAATTGCTTTCTTGTCAAGTTTATCCCTCTTGACCTGTGGAATATGGACAAAACACACAGAACCAAACACTTTAAGGAAGCTTAATGAAGGTTTATACCCATACCAAGCCTCAAATGGAGTTTTGTCTTCCAAAGCTTTGCTTGGAAGTCGATTTTGCAAAAATACTGCTGTATTGGCTGCCTCTGCCCAAAATTGTTTTGGCAACTCCTTCTCATGCAACATACATCTGGTCATCTCCATGACATATCTGTTTCTCCTTTCACTAACTCCATTTTGTTCTGGAGTGTAGGGAGCAGTGAGCTAATGTGTAATGCCAGCTTCTTCACAAAACAAATTAAATTCTGCCGAGGTGTATTCTTTCCCGTTATCAGACCTCAGAGCTTGAATTTTGCAGCCACTTTGATTTTCCACCATTTTCTTGAACTTCCAGAAAACTCCAGCCACTTCTGACTTGAATTTCAAGAAAAAAATCCAGCACATTCTTGTGAAATCATCTATGAAAATAATATAATAGAGGCTACCTTGTAGTGATGGTGTTCTTTGAGGTCCTGCCACATCAGTGTGAATTAGTTGCAGTTTTTGTGAAGCCCTCCAAGTTGAGTTAGGAAATGGCAACCTATTTTGTTTACCAAATTGACATGCATGACAATTTGGTATATGATCAGCTAGAACTGGTAGGCCTCTTATCAAATCATTCTTTTTCATTTTCAGCATTCGTTGAAGATGACAATGCCCAAGCCTCTTGTGCCAGGTTTCGGTTAAGGTGACTTCAGTGGAATAAGCTGTGTGCTTCTCCTCTGTTGGGTCAAATGAGAAGCTTTTACCCGTCATTTTAACTCGTAAAATCTCATATCCAGCAAGATCATGAATGTGACAGCACCAATCTTCAAAGAAGACTTTGAACCCTTTTTCTATTAGCTGACCCACACTCAACAAATTTTGGTCAATGTCAGGTACGTAAAGAACATCAGAAATTTTTTTTGTTCCTGAGTTTGTTGTAATTGCAATTGTCCCTTTTCCTTTTGCTGAAATATAGTCACCATTTCCGATTCGAACCTTTGCAGTTTCAGCGAGCTTCAAATCCGTGAAAAGAGTTCTGTCATAAGTCATGTGGTTTGTACAACCACTATCAATCAACCAACTTTCTGAAGAACTCTTGGTCGCAAAACACGTTGCCACAAAAATCTGATCTTCCTCTTCTTGATCGGCAATTTGAGCATTTGCTTCCTGTTTTTCAAGCTTGCTTCTGCAAATCACAACTTCATGTCCAAGCTGATTGCACTTGCTGCACTTTGCATCTGGTCTCTTCCAACATTTGAATGGTGAATGGCCTGTCCTGCCACAATGCTGACAAGGTGGATAGTTTCTTCTTGAAAATTTGCTATTGCTTTGGATCTTGTTGTTTTCACTGCTTGACTCCTGATGTTTTTTGTAATTTTTCTTCTTGTTCTTTCCAGCATTTTGATGTTTGGCCGACAAGGCTCCCTCGGTAGTACGATCTTGCCTCATAAGCCTCCGTTGCTCTTGAGCCTGCAAGGCATTTAACAGTTCTGCCAAGGTGATCTTGGACAGATCCTTTGTGTTCTCCAAGGTGGTTATAGATGCTTCATATCTTTCAGGCACAGTTACAAGAATTTTTTCTACAATTCTAGAATCAGTAAAAAACCTTACCTTGTTGACAATGCCAAGCAACTTATCTGAATACTCTTTGATTGTTTCAGACTCCTTCATCTTTTGCAACTCGAATTCCCTTATTAAATTCATCACCTGCATGCCTCGTATTCTTTCATCTCCTTCATATTCTTCCTTCAAATAATCCCAAACATCTTTTGCTGTTTTTAGAGACATGATTCTTGTGAAAATGGTTGTTGAAACAGCAGCAAATAGACTTGCTTTTGCCTTTGACTTTCTTGTTTTTTTCTCTTTATGATTTTTGATCTGGGCCATGGTGGGATTATTTGGCAGTGGAGGAACTTCATAATCCTCTTCCACAGCTTCCCAAAGATCCAATGCCTCTAGGTATGTCTCCATTTTCACTGCCCAAAGCTGGTAGTTTTCTCCATCAAAGACAGGAGGAGCAATTTGAGAAAAACTTGATTCAGCTTCCATTTCACAGATCCCGTAAGAAGTAAGCTCTGATACCAATTGTTAGTTTTAAAGATAAAGAAACAGAGGAAAAATTAAAAATACAGAGAAGAAGAAGATCCAGAAGTTGCAACAGCAAAGGGAATTCATTTATTCAATCAGCAATCTTACATTTAAATAGCTAAAGGAAAAACTGAAAACAGCAAGTAAAATGCAGAAATTTAAGGCATTCAAGCCATTATCTACATCACGTTAAAATAACAGAAAAACAACTCTTTAAGACTAGGGCTAACTTATTGACTGAGAGATAGAATATCTAAAACAATAACAATAATTAGAAAAGTGAGGTGGACTAATAACAGTCCTAAAGCAATTTTTAACAGTTTTCACTTTTGTGCGATGAAATTCTGTCAAAAATATTTCGATGGGTTTGCTGAATTTTGGAAGATTTTTACCATAATTTCATGTTATAGTTGTCTATATGTTGTATACTATATACAACAATTGTGTTTTAAAATTTAAATGCAATTTTATGGGTGATTTTTACCATAATTTCGGTTGATACTTACTGCCAATTGACTCTCTTGAACCACGTGTAAACTACATAAATTTAACTAATAGACTGTTTTGTAATATAGTTAAATTGTGTTTCTGGTCAAATTAAATCAATGCAGAAACTAATTGTCGATTACATGGATGACTAGAAGTAGAAGGAAGAGGAAACAAGGCTCAAAAGTGCATGGAAAGAAGATTGAGGACAAAAGTGAACAAGAAGGAAGTGCATTCTTCCTTGCGATCACAAGGAGTCCTTCCTTGCGATCGCCCAAGCATCAACAGGGAACAATTTGGGGCATTTCAGTTTGCCCATGTGATCGCATGGGATCCTTCTGTGCGATCGCATGAGGTATTTTCTGCGCAAAAATTTTAGTTTCCTTTTTCAAATCAACCACTTATGGAATGATATCTTGGGACTCTATTTAAACCAAATAGTCATCCAGAATTAGGTTACATGCATTCTTTGAGAGGAAAAAGGCAATTTTGAGGAGCAAGGAGAAAAGCTTGAAGCTAGGGTTTCACCTCAAGATCGAAAATTGGAGCTTTAACTTCTACTCTTTTGGTGATGTTTTCCTTCTACCAATTTTTTCAACTTTTGCATTTAACCATTATTTTATATTTAGATCGAAATTTTAGTTTAATTTACATGTTAGTCATAATTTCATCATAAAATTACAAAAACAATCATCTCGAATTTAATAGATTTGGTTAAGGTCGAGATAATGAAAAATCACGTTAAATCAAAACTCGTGGGAACGATACTCGAAATTCTTGAATTTCCACTTTATTACTTGTCAACGAACCGCACATTTGCGGTGATTTAAATCCGAAACATATTTTCGTGAACAGCTTGTCCAAATCTTAGCTCACTGTCTCTTGTTGTTGCTGTGTTTTAATTCTTTATTTCGTAAATATGTCAGGGTTTTGAAGAAAAGTGAGCCCAAGAAACAGATGGATTCTTTGGATGACGAAGGTGAAGCACCACCACGTTCCGTAGGAATCTACGAATTTGTGGATGGTGAGGATGAACCCATTTCCTTTGCGGAGTTACCAATTCAGTGGAAGAAAGTTGAGACTCCAGATGGGAAGCAAAAGCAGATCTTCTTACGTGGGTCATTTGATAAAGGACTTCAGAAAATCTATGAGCAGGTTGTAGCTTGGAAGTTTGATCTTTCTAATGAGAAGCCTGAGATTTCGGTGTTAACGAAAGAGAATTACTGGATCAGGCTTCTGAATCCAAGGAATGCTTATGAGAATATAATTAGGACGATCTTAATCACGGTGCACTGCCTATATCTTGTGAAAAGGAATCGAGGAACGTCCTACAAAGCTTTGTGGGATCATTTGGGTAAAGTCTTCAGGTTGTTAATTCAGACTTTGATACATGTTCAATATCTCTTTGTTTTACACTCCATTTTTCTCATTTTTGGCCACTTGTAGCTTGTTTGAGCCCAGGCCTTCTGAAAATGATCTTGTAGACCACGTTTCTTTATTTGATGAAGCTGTTAAGAGAGATGCAACATTGGCAAAATCAAAGGTCTGCACTTGCTCTTTAATATTGCCTGACTCGAAAACATGAAGAATTAACAAGTCAAGTTGTTGCAATTCTTTGTTTCAAAAGTTCGAGACTCTGTTGGGGTCTTAACGGTTCAACCCGTTTTGCCATCTAAGACGCGAGTTTTAGGGGTTCTCGTGCACCCAAAAAATCATTAAACGTCTTCTTTGGAACCCGTCAACGGCTGTCCCGCAGGAGAGGAGAAAGTAATGCAGGAAAATGACTTCTAAAAAGTATTAAGAAAGATATTCTATGGCTAAATTGTCTATGGACTAGAAAGAACGTTAACCAATTAGTTAGTCTTTCCCATGGAAAATTCATATCTTGTTCCTTTATATATTTAGCCCTGTTTTTATTTTAGTTCATATTTGATGGGAATTAAAATCAAATTTCTAATAAATTTTAATAGAAATTGATGAAATGTGCGGTTGAAAAATTGTGGAATCCATAAAATATGTAGTTAAAATTGATTGTTGGCGTTGACCTAGATTAAAATCTAGATTTTAATGTGTATCAAACAGGGGCTAAGTTAAAATCAATAATTAATTTTAACACACATCATTGGACAATTTGATTCCTGGATGGAGCAGCTTAGTGTTGCAATACTCAATTTTGGTGGAGCAGCTTGGTGATGTAATATCCACGGAGGAAGGCTCCCTTGGGGTCAGGATTATAAAGGGTGCACGAACCCTGGTCAACTTGGGCATATCCCGCTGTTAACCTCTACGCATCACTGAGGGGTCGGGGATGGGTGGTCCAGGACATAGTCTGTTATAAGTTGGGATACCTGGATATTAAAAAAAAACTACATAATTTTTTGGTCCAACCATTTGTTGACAAGTACTTTTTATTAGCAATCATGTTACATTCAATTTTGTATGCAAGAGTGGAGGTCGAACGAGCGGAGAAATTATTGAAGTTCATTTAGTGTCGAGTATGAAGATCAAAAACCTGTAAAGAACGTTAGAGTTTTTTGATGAGATTCAGCTAGCCAATTAAGCCAACGTCTCTAGAGCTTTATAACTCATGGATGATTGCCTGACATTAATTACTTAGATCCAAATTTTGTAACCTTAATTTTGTAGACTTCTTTCAGATTACAAATGACTCACAACGTCTAATCACTTGGCTTACACACCATAAGTACTCCACTATAACTCATAAGGAAAATCACATAAAGTTTATTCCTCCGCGTGTACAGGGCGTGAAACCGAAGAATCGTTATATGAGAAATGTGACTTTTTTAAGAAAATTATAATGAGACTACAATGAAGTGGAGTAAAGAGGTACACAGGTTAAAATTAATGTCTTATTTTAACTTTAGATTATAAAGACATTGTAATGTTAACCCAAACGAGCACGGTGTCACATGGAATTTTACAAAGAGAAAATTCATGTAATAACTTCTTGCTCCAAAGCTACATTATAAAAAAGTTACTTATTAAAATTAAAAACAACTTTTTTATTTGATTTAACTTTTTGCGTGAGGCAAAATACATAACATATATTTAGCAAAAGCTGCTTTTGCATTCAACATAATATCTCTGCTACAAGACTAGAAAATTAGTAACAGTTCGGCCAATGTTTGCTGGTCTTTTTGAATCTATCTGTATTAGTACTCTCAATTTCTTCAGATTTAGTCTCAGTCTCGGATTGATGAGTCTCATCACCACCAGCACCCTCTTTGCAGTGTGGATAATAGCAGTGATGGCGTCCACTGCATCCTCCTTTATGCCATCCGTCTACTCGCACGCCACTCTCTTAAAAATTTTAAGATTTAGCAGTGTTAGTGTAACAAGTACTTGCAATGAAAATCTGCATAAAGGGTTAGGTTTCTCGAAAATGGAAACGCAAACTAAACGTGAATCCACGACGCAACACGACACTCGGAAAGATTGTGTTTCTTTAAAAATAGGATAAGTTGTGGAAATGTTGTATAAAAAAATGTAGTTCTTTATTAAACTTTTAATAGTTAATTTGAAAAGGATGTTTAATATTAATCCAAACTCAAATCGCTTGTTGTTTTATTGTAGTACATGATTTACAGCCAGAGATTACTAAATTTTTAGTTTGAAGCAGATAAAAAGCAATACTTGGTATGTTATGTCACCGATACTTAGTAGATCATTTCTCTACTTAATAAACATTAGTTAACATAACGAGACAATATAATGAACAAGATCTTGACTTGTTTATATTTTTTAATATTGTTCTCTTCTATCCAATAGACACACAATGTTAAACTATTTCTATGGATATGTATGAACATGTAGTAGTAACACAAAACGTTTACAAGACACATGCATGCAAATAGAACGCAACAATACTCACGAAGTTGGCTATGCCAGGCTCGTTATGAGCAGAAGCTCGGGGAGAGATGACGAGATCAGCGAAGAGAAGGACGAGAGGGACGAGAATAGCGAAGAGAAGGATGAGAATAAGTAACATCTTGAAGTGAGCCATTTTACCTCAAGAGTGTATATCATTAGTATGGGAAATTTTGCTTCAAGATTTGGTGAGAAGCGTGAATGTCTTCATACTAACCATTGGTTAGGTACAAATTAAAATCAAGATTTTAATCTAAATCAAAGTCAACAATTAATTTTAACCATATTTTTTGTGGGACCTATAACTTTTCAACCACATATTTCATCAACTTTTATCACAATATAAATAAAAATATGATTTTAATCCCCACGAATTAAGAGCTAAAATATTGCTGACTATTTCAAGCTAGAGTCAAAATCTTACAACATAAAACAATTTTCTTAAACCCACGATCTTAAACCCAGCAGGTACATCATCCATGAGCTAGGGTCTTGTCCCCGACCATGTGGTACAATCCAAGAGGCTTGCGATATGCCAAATAAAATAGCAATGGGAGAATCTGAAATCAAGCAATTTGTGTCTCTTCATGCATTTGAAAAGGGATCTACAGTTAACTAAGGTTAGATTCTCACTCGGAAAATAAAGTATTCACAATTAATGAAGCGACATCACGGGCATCATTTTCTTTGCATATATGTTAAACTGGTGTCTTTTCCCAATGTTGACTATTTTGAACCACTGTATCTAAAAGTTTAAGCCATTACCAAAAAGGCAAACTTATTTATTTAAATTATCTCCAGCATGTTCCTTTATGCAAGCAAGATTCTTACAAAAATTACCTTCAGATCTATATACAATGGTCAAGGTATTTCAAAATTAATTTAGAGTAACAATTTTATGAAATCCCATAGTTAATGTTATTAGATATTATATTTGTTAACCTAACTGAATGTGATAGATTTTGCGCTTGGGAGTATTTTTGATAGATTTTGGTAATTCAAATTTAATAATTCTATTATGTTTTGGATTTTCAGATTGGTGAATATTGTTTAATTTAAGCTTTCCTTTTGCCATTTTCTTAGGTTGTGTTAAGTATATTTGATCATGGATATGTTTGTAGGTTGTATTGAGGATTAGGCCAGCTAATGGCCTTGGAAATGGAGATGGAATGGTTAAGAAAGTTTCTGAGGATTCAGTATCTGTTGGTGACAGAACGTACACGTTTGATTCAGTTTTAGACTCAAAATCATCTCAAGTTTGGAATTATTTCTGAAATTCTTATCCTACAGTCCTTTCTGTTTACCCAAATATCCTTATGAGGACATATGAACTAATTTAAGGCCATTTCAATAGAATCAAAATATAAGGATCCATGTTAATTTATAAATCTTATGGTTCCATGATTTTAGGAGGACGTGTATCAATTAGTTGTCACCGGTTTAGTTAAGGATGCATTGGCAGGTTACGACACATCGATATTGGCTTATATATGGACAGGTAGTTTTGGCCGCGTAACTAATTTTGCTGCTTTCTTGTAATTGTGTATTGCTCAACTTCGGAAATAGAAGTTCTTGTTTGATTATTGTTAGACTGGGAGTGGAAAGACTTACACTGTTACACAATGTAGGGACCCCCCAGCGCAATGGTTGAGAATGGTCCATCAGTCAGTGGTCTTCAGGACATTGTGCCACGCATTTTCCGGGGTCTCTTTTCTGAGATTCAAAAGGTAGATTATAGTTCTTCATCTGGTTAGAAAAGAAAAGTGATTATATGAATCTGACAATGACTGTATCTGTTTCACATTCATGTAGGAACATGAGAGTTCTGATGGTAAACAGATAAATTATCTGTGCTGGTGCTCCTTTCTTGAGGTAACAGTTTCATTTGTATATTTATTTTATAAAATGACTTCGGAGTTTGGACTTTATATTACAGCACGGAGCAATTATTATGGATGATCTATTGCTGCCAGGTGTCCAGTGAAAAAACTGGGGATCTGCTTGATCCGACACAGAGAAATCTAGATGTGAATATTTCAGACAGAAAAAACATCATCAGTTTTCCTGTTGATAGTGCTTAAGAGAGTTTTCATGTATATTTTATGCTTAACCCAGTATCGTTGACCTCTTCCAGATAAAGGATGATGAAAAAGTTGGATTTTATGTTGAGATTTTAACGGAAGAGTATGTCTCCAGCCACGAGGATGTCACCCAGATTTTGATCAAGGTAGTAAAAACACGAGGGGTGTGGAAGTTATACATTTTTAGTTTGCTTTTACTGGACTTGCATTGTTGTTTATGTTTTTAGTCATATCAATAGTTGCTTCCAGCAATTCTCTTCTATATTTCAGGATCACTTCAGATTACTTTATGCTGCAGGGGCTATCAAGTAGAAAGGTTGGATCAACAAGTATAAATTCAAAGAGCTCAAGATCCCACATTATATTTTTGCACTTGATGTTTCCTTATGTTACATTACAGTTAACAAAAATTAATTGAAATCTATATTATCCATCTTGTTTATGTCAAAAGCAATTAGTGCCCAAATAACAGAAGCAATTGGAAGATGTTTTTGGTGTTAAAAAATTAATATTGTAGTGAATGAACAAATAATACTTTTAATGATCCTTTAGAATTTTTTTATGCTAAAATTATCGTAAATCTAATTCTTCAGGTATTGGTTCATGGTTGCATGTGAAATAACCAAATTTGGTAATATTTGTTGATATCTCTGCAATTGGTGCAGGCACTTGGTAAATATAGTTGCAGAAATAAGTCACAATGGGAAATCTGAAGACGTTCCATTTAGAAGTTCCTGTCTAACTCATCTACTGAGAGAATCACTTGGCGGCACAGCTTAACTCTCCATTATCTGTGCCATTGCTCCGGATAACAAGTACTGAACTATATCATTTTCCGTTTCATAAACAAATAAAGTAATAGACGTACATTGGTCTTGGGGACCATGTGCTTTGACTGGATAACGATACTGGTGATTGTGATTTTTTTCTTTTTTCTTTTTAATCTTTTCCACTTAGCTCTTGAGCACAATCAACTATAGGTAGGTTCTTATTGTTTTCATCAGGTAGCAGATCACATACGTCACTGTGTCATTTTTTCCCTCATCATTTCTGTCTTTTTTCTGTGTTTTTTGTTTTGTTTTTGTCAAGGTGCAGCGGTGAAACCTTAAGGACACTCAGATTCGCAGAGGGCAAAGCTCATGAAGAATGAGCCTATAGTTAATTTAATAGCAGAAGATGATGTTAATGATTTGAGCGATCAGATTCGGCAGCTGAAGGTGCTCTACCTTTTACATGTTCCTGATTTATTTTTGGTGGAGATTCTCATTTAGTTTAATACGTTTGTGTCCTTGATAATTCAGGAACAACCTATAAGAGCCAAGTTCAGTTCGTGCAACTCATTCAGATGCACAGTGGACATTCCAAAGGACAAAGTGCACGTGAAAGCACGAATTAGTTAAGATTGAGCGTGAACCGTTCACTGATCTTACCTCAGATACACAATGATTCTAAAGAAGAATTATGCATCAACGAGGAAGATGTGAAGGAACTAGGACTTCAGATTGATAATTTGACTAGTTCTGAGAATGGAGAGTGCTCCCAATTATACTTTGTCGGAGGGCAGTGAGGCAGACTTGACATGTGAACATTATTTAAGCTGTTCAGAAGAAAGTGAAAATGAAGAAATAAAGTCAAGAGTCACTCAAAGAGAATTGATACGTCCAGATAACACAGTGTCAGTGGCTGACCCTGATAACCTTTCTAAGAAATCAATGGCCATCAATGCTCCTTCAAGGAGGAGCCTGTCAATCAGTGGAAGCAATCAGCCTGCAGTCGTGGAAGATCCCATGTTATCTGAGAGTCCAAAAATAAGCAATTCCCAAAGGAGAAGCACATTTTTAAGCATGGTCTAGAGAAGATAACACGAGGACTAAGTTTGACTGTCAACATGTTCGGTATGCAACACTGAATAAATTTTATGTAAAATAAAGAAAAGAAATATAAACTTCTTTAGTCTCAACCCCGTAATATGTAGTGCTGATTGTATTTCTTGATTGTTATGGCCTGTGATCATCTGCTACTAATCTTAATAGAAAGTTGGTTTGAGTTAAAAAAAAAAAAAAAGATAAAAAAAAAATCTCTTTCTCCCCACAAATTCTTGCATTCCTTTGGGCTTTTGGTAAGTGTTGTACATTGACGCCATTGTTAGCATAAAAATTGCTATATAAACACACGTCAAAGGCCTAATTTGGAATTGATTTTAGAGCCCAACTTCTGATTGTCATAAGAATCATAAGTTATTTTTTAGTGTTTGGTAAATTTAAGAAAAACTGATTATAAAAGAATTATACCTTTTTAAACAGCAAATTCGAGAAGCAACAAAATGGTAACTTCTCAATTTTACTTTTAGTTTCTCCCGTTATATATAATAAAACTAATTCATTTTCCACTCTATTGATTGTGCTTTTATTTTGTAATTTTATCAAATCTGAGATTTATAATAGATATTAATTTTCTTTCATTTAAAATTACTATCGTGATTACATTATTTTTTGAAACAAAAAATCACTTTTCTAAGAAATGTTGTTGCGCAAATAACACTAGCTAGTTAACGACCCGTGGTTTATTTTTTTCTAATTAAATGTTGGCATGTCAACGAGTGTTTATTAAATCTATCATAAAACTTATTAAAATTGGTATTATTTTACTACAAAATTTTGAAATTTCTTCTCTCCTTTAAATAAGAGATTTATTTCCAAAATAAGCAAACGTATCTTTACTCTATCATATCAATTAACTTGATTTTTTTCATTATGTCAATTAGCCATTTTTGATACAGAATATTCCTAGAATTCTATTTTTTTAACCGATATAATTTCCTTATAAATCACACCATTTTCATCATTTCCAAAAAATAAAAATATAAAAATCCATCAACACTCTATTTAAGTTCCAAAAGAATGAACATTTCTTGTATTTTAGTTAGGCTTTAAGAAAAGCTTTGTCGAACAAATCGCATCAATGGCACCTTGCAAATGGATTCGTTCATTTAAGGAAGAGAATTCAGCTTTCATGGTATTGTATTTTGTTGTATATTTTATTTGTATTTTCCACTTTATCATTTTTTTTCATATTCTTTTTGTATTTTTCTCCAGTCATGTATTCTGAGAGTAAATGTACACAGTTCAGGATGGCAAAAGGCAGTCAGGAGTGTGTTATCCAGTAGCCGAGGTATAAAATAATTAATTTCTTACAAAAACACTTATTTTCATGATAGATTCTGATTTTTCTTTTTTTGGTGTATCAAATGAAGGAGTACGTAGTTTCAAGATGGATGAATACGGCATTGTACACGTGTCAGGTTTGATTGATCCAAAATTACTTATGAAAAAGCTAAGAAAAGCTGGAAGACGTGTAGAATTATGTTGGTTCCAATATGGACAGTGTTCGAGCAACTTATTTTTGCCGAAGTATGATAATCCATATGGTTACCGGATGAGCAGCTACGATGAATGTGGTCGTTATTTTCCTTTCCGACAAGCATTTCAAGACGCTTGTTTAGAATCAACGTACGTGCATTCGCCACCGCTAACGGCCATGCCCTTGAGCTTCGAAAGCAATGGCTGTTGCACTATCATGTAAAACTACCCTCAACTTGGACAAAAAACTAGGATTTAGAATGAAAAAATGTCCTTCTTAATGGTTTTTTTTGTCCTAGTTAGTGATTCTGATTGATGCGTTTTCTTGTTGCATTATTTTTATGCAATTCGCAATGTGTTTTATTGAAGTCTGTATGACTGAAATTTAATATTTGAGCAACTAGGTTTTCTTAGAATGAATGAAATGCCGTTTAATAACTACAAATTATATTACTACTATAACTACAAATTATATTACTACTATACTATAGAGTGGCTTCCAGTTGAACCGCCGTTTCTCCCTCTGCAATCAATAGAGGACTCGCCGGAACCCTAGAAACCGTCCCTTTGCAACCATAGGTAACAGATCAATTTATTCACTTCTTATGTTTTTAATATGTTATACACTTTCGTATTGTATACATTAATTCTGTTTAGAATTGACGGAAGCTATTTCACGGGACTCGATGCACAAGAGGAGAGCCACTGGAGGAAAGAAGAAGGCTTGGAGAAAGAAGAGGGAGTAATTTTTACTTAGTTCATATTTAAATATTTTGTCATTTGTGATTCTGATTGATTGGTTGCTATGTCTAGGATGCGTTTTCTTGTTGCATTATTTTTATGCAATTCACAATGTGTTTTATTGAAGTCTGTATGACTGAAATTTAAGTTTTGAGCAACAAGGTTTTCTTAGAATGAATGAAATGTCGTTTAATAAATCAGATAAAAACTTCTTAATTTTTTTGTTCAAACCTAAAAAATTCACACTTATGAATGTTTCCATTTCTATTCAAAGATGCTAGTTCAGTTATTCAACGATTAATCAGTTTATTAATATTTATGGTAGGTTGTTAAATGATAACTTTTGATTGTAGCTATCTGGTTGATGTAACTTATTACTCCCATTGAGTTATATGTCTGTGATTGTTATTAGATAAATTTATTCCATCTATTTTTGGGTATGAGCTTGGAAGGCAACCAGCAAATACTAAGTTGTCAAGTAACAAAACAGTACAAAGGGTGAGGGTTTGAGGAGGTAATGTGAAGTGGCGTGCCTTGAGGCTGGACACGGGAAACTACTCTTGGGGGAGTGAAGCTGTGACCCGGAAGACTCGTATTCTTGACGTGGTTTATAATGCATCGAACAATGAGTTGGTTAGGACCCAGACTTTGGTGAAGAGTGCCATTGTTCAAGTGGATGCTGCACCATTCAAGCAGTGGTATCTTCAGCACTATGGAGTTGACATTGGTCGCAAGAAGAAGACAGCTGCCAAGAAGGAAGGAGAAGTAATGAACTATCTTTCTTTTCCATTGCTTTAGGATATAATTTGCCCATTACTTTTTGTTGGACTACAAAAGTGCTCACAGGGAACATTTTACTCCAATTAGTGACTAATATAATTAGGCACATATTAACTGTGAGTTGATGGGAAAGATTGCGATGCATTGAGAGCATCAATGAGCTATATAATACATTAGAAGGCATCATTGAGGACATTTCTAAAGACCAGGGAACAATTAGAGTCACCAAAATATGCATTCTGTATTATATGTTAACTCTATTTTTACCCATATCTGTTGATTGATAATAAAAATGTCAGACGTATCTAAGTTGGAATTTCATAGCGTAATTGGGTAAAATAAGAAATCGAGTGATCCAGTCTGGAAGGCATAAGAAATGTCTTGTCATGATTTAAAGGAGGGAGATTTGAATTGCATGGACATGTTTTTAATATATGCTCTCGTTTTAAACGAAGTCTACTGAAGAATATCTTTTCAAAGATTTTTAATAACTTCTGTTTACGGGGATTTAATTAGGATACTGATGCTGCTGCTACAGCAACCACGTCCTGAGAAAAATTGAAAAGCGTCAACAGGATCGCAAGCTTGACCCCCATGTTGAGGAGCAATTTGGCAGTGGCCGTTTATTAGCTTCAATCTCTTCACGCCCTGGACAGTGTGGGCATGCTGATGGGTATGTAAATGTCCCTTTTTTGTTTTTTAAGACAAACAGATATAGAAAAATGCTCACTTCTAGTTCAAAAATAGATGCCAACTTAACTGTTGGTGAACTGAGTTTCCATTATGCTGGTGTGCTTACCAAAATTTTCATTTGTCTGGGGCAATCAGTTAAGAACAAAAAGGTCTCAAACTTTTGTGCTCAACTCTGTAGTATGGAAGTTCGTGATTTTTTTTCCCCTTCGTGTGTTTCTCTGATGGGGACAATAAAAAGCACAAATATACAACATGTTTGTTAAACAGCCAGAATTTTATTACTTTTGACTTTAATCTGGTAAATACTTCTTTGGTCACTTATTTGTTAAGCTGCATGCACGAGAATTAGATTGAACTTTTCAATGTCATACTAATCAATTTTTGTGGAGAATTATGTTAAGTCTTTCTTTTTGGTAACGTCTTTGATCTTCTTGTTGGTAATAAATTAGCAGCATGTTAGCTGCTGATGGAGTTCAAGTATTTGTTAAAGAAGATGAGAGATGAGAACTTCTAAGCAAAGTGCAAAATTGGTTGATGACCGTGGATAATTTTTCAAATGTACACTAGTCTTCGAATTGATTGATTCGCGCTTGAATGGCCTCATTCTATGTTAACAGCCAAGGGCAATGGTATCAATAGGCAAGAAACTGGTTGAGCTATTCTTAAAACTTAAAACTTTAGTGCCATATGTTTCGTTTGAAATGAAATTGAATATTCTAGTCGTGTTCTAGTACTTCTTGATTGATTGGTTAGATGGCAAGCACGCCAAGATCACGGTATGTTATTTAGCCTTTCTTGGATCATGCAAAGGTTTTCCAAACAATTTAGGCTTTCGCAATGAGTCTTTTTTTGTTTTTTTTAACAAGTACAAAAATTAAAAGAGTAAATGATCACTAACTGAAATTATGATGATTGCTGATGATATGACATTTTGCGTCTCATCATGTAATGTAGCGTTATATGTGTAACATGAGCACAATATAATTTGTTACACGTATGTTACAAACATAACAAATTTTGTTATGCACGCAACATGGGTGTATTACATGTTTTACAAATGTATAACAAATTGTGTTACAAGTATTAAAAACTAATGACATGTTTGTTAACAATTTATAAAAAAATGTTTACACATTATTTTATCATAAATTGGAAATAATTCATTTATCATTGTATTTATGAAATCTTATTAGAAATATAGTAATATGGAGAAGATAAAATTGTTTCAAGTACCGATAGAATTGAAAGCGCCCCTTTTGCCTGCTCTAGTCCTCTTACAAAACTTTCGTTATTGAGTTAATCATACACTTTACATGTTTCTAGCGATTCACATAACATCATCAAATAATACAAGTCTTGGATAAGAATCTATAACACACTAGAACTTATAAAGACAAGTATATTTCTACACAAAACACAGCATAAGTATATTCAAAACTTAGACCAATTTCATTATGTAATCACGATACAATGTTCACATCAGGCATTGTTACATTTTGCACAACTAGGTCAATTGCCAGTCCTCGAAGAACTTAAAAAGCCGTCCCCAATCACTTTGATTGACAAATTCACTCAAAAACTAACATATTATGTTCTAGGTTTAGAAGGTTCTTCAGAGCGAATATTTGGTGCAGTTGGTTGGAAGTTCCTCGATTTCTTTCACAACTAGTGCTCTGTCAAATTCAAATGTTTCATCCTCTGCAAATTAATTAAGGTATAGACTTATAAGTTTCGTCTCTAATTATTCTGCAATGTGATTTTACACATCTCAATAATGTAAAAATAGAAAAAAAAAAATGGGACACCTCTTTCCGAGCAGAAGCCATCGAAGAAGCGGAGAAGCTTGCTTTTGTTAGCGACTAATATGTTGACAATCTCAACAGGTTTGTTTGGTTAGCCACAAAAACCTATAAGAACACAAAAAAAGCAAGTACTCAAAACTGATAAGAATTTCTTTAAAAGTTTTTATGAACTGTTAGATATGAAACCTTGAATACATGGAATGCATCAATCTGGATGTTCTTGTGCGACTCTTGCAAAACAAATTTTTCTCGTATTTAGATTACTCCAAACTCAACCATGCTAGACTGCCAGAAAAGTTTGACATCTTTCTAAATAGAATGCCACGTGGCATTCTGTCATTAGATGTTTTAAAAACAATCAACTTTTACATTCAATCATTTCCTGCCACCAATACATCTGTCAACTAGGATGTCAACATTTTCTGGCAAAATAGCTTAATTCCTCTAAACTGCATGATTGGTGTCACTTGAAATTTTTCAGACTTTTATATTATATTTTTCATCCTCAATTATTATACGGAAATAAGCAAGGACAAATAAGCTAGCATATTGCAAAAAAAAAATCTAAAAACTCGAATGGCGCTCTATAAGAATTCTAGAGATGAAACATAAATGTTACCTTCAAGAGATTCATCAAAACCCTTGCTATCCAACGAGCTGACATAACATATCATCACATCAGAATTTGAACGATCAAGCAAGATATCTCTCAAATGCTGAAAGGTAATAGTGATATTCAATTAAAAATAATTTCTTTTTTCGATATAAGTTTGTTAGCAACTATGGTTCAGTTAGATTCAAGATGGGATATTGATATTGAACAATTAAAATAAATGTAAGTATGAATGTGATTGACATATTAAGTAGAGAATCCAAAAGTACAATTTCTCGACAGTTGTTTGCAAAAGAATAGAAAATGATCCCTCTTAATAACTTATTTACCTTGACGGAATTTCTTTTAGTTATGTAATTCGTAGATTCGAGCAACTTCGAATTGAACTCTGCAAAAAACTAGAACCAAAGACACAAGGGGAAATGGCATCCTTAATAACTGTAATTCTAGATTCTGAAGGAAACAAACACACATGGAATTGTGATTTCATCCTTGGAGAAATGTTATTACTGATTAATGATTTTCTTATCCAACTTGCGCCTCATAATATATGTTTTGTTATTTCTGAGTGGCATCTTTACGAGCCTAAAAGAAAAACAGTATACCCATGATAAGCAGCAGGAAAAAAGTCCAGATTAAATCATACTTTTATACCAAATATGTTAGGGGAAGAGTTGCTTACCTCCAAGTTTAATTTTGGGAGACAGAGAATAAGAACCAACAATGTATCATGTTGACGAAGAAAATTGTATTAACAAGATTCAAGCCAACTTAAAACGTAAATAAAGATTTTATTGATAATGGTTTGCAAATTACAATTGTAACTATGAGTGTTTGCTCTTTCTTGAAATTTGAAATATGAAGTGTTTCGAGCTTCATCTTTTCTTCGAAGTCTCTATTCTCCCTTTTACAGGGAAAGATTTTCATATATTCTTCATTTCCTTGTCCTCTCAGCTATAGTACCAAGCTGAGAGAGTACAATATTGACACATTTGGATTGGCTAGTGAGCTCAACTTGTCAGGTCATTATGAATTAGTCTTACATGTGGTCTCTAGCAGTTAATGAACTAAGTTATGTGATTGGCGGAATTAGCGGGCGCTGACATAAGGCCTTCTAGATGTCACTTGTCGATTCACTGTTTGTATAATGTGTAAGAAATCTTCCATCATTATCACTCTTCAGACCTCAATAATCACTTAACATGAGCAGACGTCAAATATTCGAGCTCACATTAGCATGAGCTTAATGCATACAATAAACGGTACTTAACGACTTCAGAGGTTGGATGTCAACATATCGTATTTAAAGAACTCTTTAGTCAGTTCCAAGCAAGGTTCTGGAATAGGTTCCGATTCACCAACACCATGACGAGTTGACCTCATCTCCCCCGTATGGAGATCTAATTTTGTCAACTGAAATTAGAAAGCTTCCACATTTGAAAAGTAAGAATGACACGACAAATAAAGTGTTCCACAAACAAGCGAAAAACATATGCCAATGATCACTGACAACAAAATGCACGCACAATAGTCGATATTCCCAGAAAGATTGACAAAGAAACAAATTTACAATGAAAATATTCTTAATTACAAAAGCTGAGATTTCCTTATTATCAAGAACCTGGCACCATGTGTGACTTAACATTGTTCAACACAGAAGACAGAAACAGATTGAATATTGATACAACAAACAAGGCTAATATTTATTATGAAAAACTTCTCGATACTTTGTGTCTTATTCTGCATTCATCTTTAAGCAAATTTTCCTCATAATTTAAAATTAATTTCCCATCATATGTAAATCAAAAACAAAAGAAAATTCACACTCAAAACAAATTTGATTCCAAAAAGAAAATTTCAAACAGCCACAGAGATAAAAATAAACCAATCTCCAAAGAATGCATAGGAAATTAACCATTTCATCATGCTTAGGTCGCTCGGTGTCACCACCAGAATCTAGGCCAACAGCAGGGCCCTGGTTTCTCGTACAACATCGACAAGGGTCCGAGGTTTCTTGGGTTTGAATAGATTCTTCATTGAACTGGTCCTCACAACCTTCTTAACAAGGTTCTTGAAACTTGAAGGAGAACCCGATATCTGCTGTTTCGCATCAACGTTACTCACCACAACCGCCATCTCTTTTCCATTAACAGAATCTGGAGATTGGGATTCCACAGGCATAATTGCCTTGGAAAAAGAGATCTTTTATTTTCCAAAATTCCCAATTATTCTTGCAATAAAAGGGAATGAAAAAGGAAAACTTCTTGGTCGAGTAATGCTATTCATCCCCAATGGGGATGAAAATACAGTTTACGTGGCGTTAATGTGGCATTAAATGATTCATTTAACCTATCGTTTAAAGTCACATATACTGTATTTTCATCCCACTGGGAATGAATAATATTACTCCTTGGTTGTGGGAGAAGAATTTACATAGTTATACTGTTATTGGGCTTCTGTGTATTTTCTTCTGCGAACAAATTTTTCTTTGCTTTTCCTAAATTCTTGCAGCTTTGTTTTATTCCCATGCAAGTTTGACCAAACTTATAAGTTTACTCGGGATTACATAAATATTTTTTTATTGATCAAAACTAAAATAAAAACGTCACACTGAAATAAAAAAGTATTTATCATCATCATCATCATCATCATCATCATCATCATCATCATTTATTATTTTTTTATTTTTTGCATTTTAAGTTTAGCCAAACATGCTTTATAATTGTAATCCCATTCTATTGATCGTTGCAATTATTCTATGGATTCTATTGATCGTTGCAAGCCATGAATTTTTGTATAATTGCATAAAATCCATGGAAAATCAACATTTTTCATTGCATAAAATCCATAGAAAATCATCCTATGCGTGTTCAAAAGAATAGAATATAACATCTTATCATCTATCTAAACCTCAAATGTAACATCTCTAAAAGCCTACATGCCATTCCTCGCGTGTAATATCTGTAATCAAGGGAGCTTCTTCTTGTTTCCCATCAACAGCTCTGGCTGTCCATTTTTTTCATAAGCAATCCATTAGGTCAATTCTGTACTTGCTCGAGAACTGATGTTTACTTCTTCAATTTATATAACCTTGGTAAGATTAGCTGTGGAACTGTCATACTCTCTCCATCAGATGAAATAATCAGAGGAAAACCGAGACTTCAGATGGTTAGCAGCTTCAGCATCCGAGGCTCTTCAAAATGCTTTCGAGCTTGTCAAGCACTACAGGAGGATCAGCATAGGACCCACTGAGATATATGGGATGGTACTCCAGCCCTTTCCATCCAGCAATAAGTGCAAAATGAGGCCGTCTGTACTCGCTACTAATTATCTCTAAAATCACTGTACCGGGTGTTGCAGAAACTATATGAGTTAGCCCTGCACCATGAGCACCGATAATGACTGAAGCATCTTGGATGGCTCGAACTTGTTCTTTCATAGACGTGTGTGCAAACAGTCCGTTGATAATATTTAATTTACAATCAGAATGCTTTGAAGCCCAGTTCTGTACAGAATCGAACACTTGTTGTTCGTTGCTAAGTCTTGTTTGCACCTTACCACCGTGACGTGGATGTGCTAGATAATCCTCACGTCGTACAAAGAGGACGTTATGACCAGAGACTGGCTTAGGAATGTGGTGTCTATCCAGCGGCAAACCAAAGGCTGCTCTTATCATCTCCCCAAACTCAGACAGTCGAGCAGTCTTCTGATCATCTGGATTTTGCCACAGATCATGCGCAGAAGCTCCATCACAGTTTATGTTTTCAGTTAGTCCCTTGAATAGAGCAGTTTCATACCCCAATGGGGAGAGGATTGCATGGCGGAAACAAACTGGACCGCTGAAATTTTTAGCATAATTAAGGCTCGAGAACAATGCCTTCCATGTTTCTTCCAACTGAGTCTGAAAATATATACAAATGGAGAGAACAGCAATGCAAGTGTCGAATGTGCTCAATGACTTACAAGAATGTGCAAAATGTTTAATGCCTTGAATTCAAGAAAGTTGAAGTTGCGTTAGGTTTTTGAAGTTTCTTGCAACGAGTGGATGGTACGATAGATACAATGACTGATTTCAAGTGACGCGTAGATACATGGGTGGTTTTTAGGCATTTCCTGAAGTCTTTTGACATATCTTGTTAAAATAGCAATGAAGTCGGATACCAAATTTAAAATGCTTTGGCAAAACCAGTATAAAGTTGAAAAAAGGTGTACCTCACAGTGACCATCTACAAAAACCAAATGAGGTCGATTAGGCAAGCCGGTGACCCTAGAAGAAACATAAGCACTATACCAGTCTGTAACCGTGTGAAACATGTTTGCATATTCATACCGTGTCACCAAAAGTGTTGGCTCCTCGATCCACTGAAATAAATCCATAAGATAAATAAGATAACAAGTAAAGTGAGCTTGTTCGTACAAAAATGATAAGATGGGATTCAAGTAATAGTTACAATGAACATAATCCATCAGCCGAATTCAGTTGTAAAGAAGATCGTTCATATAATTTTACAAGCAAACAAGAAAAAGTAAAAATTTTCACGTTCACTTTCTTAAATCCTAATAATTTAAGTTTCATAAAAGTAGCAAACGTAAATACATTACATAGAACTTCCCTATGTTATGCTAGGCCAATCCCAGGAATCAATATACATACATCCAAGGGCAAGGAGAAGCAAATCCACTATAACAGAGAATAATCATAAAGAATACAAAGAACACAAGAAATCTCCCATATAATAGAACCCTAAAACGTCTAAACAGCTTCCCTTAAGATGAATTCTGCACAAATTTTAAACAATCAAATGACGCTAAAAAGAGATACAGATAAATTACAAGTAAAAAATGAAATGAGAGAGTCGTTTGCACCCCACCAGAGTTTTTAAAGAAAATCAATAATAGTTTTCAACTTTCTAATCAGATTCCTCAAATCCACAATTATTCACCTCCAGATTTCAGATGTTTCTCTAACTCAGTAGTAAACTTTACAATTTCAAAATATGACTTAAATGGGGAACTCAGATTCATCTATGTAATCAAACACTTCAATCCAACTCAATTTTTAATTTTTTTTATTTTTCTTTCTAATTACTTAAATCCACTTGGATGGAACTCCGAATTATCAGGATCGTCTCATCACTCAAACAAATAAAATAACCAACAAGATTCTAAATCCTTTCCTTTCCAGTACTGTGCATGAAAATCCAATCCCCATTTCATGCACCCTCTTCCCAACAAATCCAATTATTAAACAGTTAATGAACACGGAACACAAACATAAAAGAATTAAAAATTTTAAGCCCAAACAATAAATTCAACCCAAAGATCAAAACTTTAACAAATCTAACCAAAACCCAGATACCAAGAACAGCATAAACTAACCTCAGAGCAAGTGAACTCAGTGGGATCAGCTAAACGAATCGAATCCACCAATCCACGCATCGTGTGCCTATCAATGGCACCTTCTTGAACATAATTATTCAAGAACTCCTCATCCACTAGCCTCTTCCCGTTCCTCGTCCTATCACTAACCTCAATCTCGAACGCACCAGCTTCGAAATTCGGTAATTCTTCATCTTCTCCTCTCCCAATCACACTCTCCAACTTCTCTCCCCCTTTCGACATTAGAATCCTCTCTGGAACCATTCGGATCCTCCCCCCTTCGCATATCGAGCTCCTCAAAGTCTTACTATAAAAACACCTGAACCACCCAGCACCGCCGCCTCCGCTGCCGGCGCCGAGTTTCCGGTTGGTTTCCGAAATGGGTTTCAAGGGATCAACGCGATAAGTGAAGCCGTTGCCAAAATAGGCTTCGCAACAACGAAAAGGGACATGGGGGTTTTGCGACCAGGGGAGATATGAATGCAATATGGGCCAAGGCTTGACAGTAATCGGGTGGTGGTGAGAATGGTTTTCTGTTAATGAATAGTGGTATACCGGCGAATGATTGCGGTGGAGGAGGTGGTGGCGGTGGTCAGGGTGGGAGGAGAAGTAGAGGTACAGAGATACAGAATTTAATGCGAAGACTCTCTCGTTCTAAAAGTCTAAAAAGCTGTTCATCTTCTATTCTCGTTCTCTCCTTTTCTCATTGGCAATGGTTTCCGAATTTTATGCTGTATTTATGATGATGTTAATGCGTGTGTACAAATCTTAAACTTTAACTCAAACTTAACTGAGGGTTTAGCTTATGTTGTTTTATTCACGAAAGTAGCTAATAGCAGATAGACACGTGGAATATTAAATTAGTATAAGTTATTTTTCTTTATAATAAAAAAACACTTTTTGGTAATTCTTATTCTATAATAAAAAATTATTTATTTTAATTATATACATAAATTTAGGTGAAATTGTAGATGAGGTTAGGGGTGGACAAAACTCGACTGAATCCATCAAAACTGCCCAAACTTGATGGATTTGGGTCGATTTTTTTGTTGTTTTTAAGTGGGTTCGTTTGACTGTGTAGGCGAGTTGGGTTGGATTGGATCGGATCGGATTATGGATTAACTTATGTAAACCAAATAAACTCGTCAAACTCGACCTGCCTACTTTTGAAAATTTTAAAAAAATAAAATGTACTTTGTTCTTTGTATGTTCAGCTAATGAAGATTGAATAAGATAATAGATAATTTTATTTATTTACTGTTTAGTCTTGTGTATTCGAATTTAATATAATAGAAAATTAGATGACTTTAATTTTTGTTGACAAGTCGTCCCAACCTGACTAACCCAACCCAACCCTACTCGCCCGATACTTGATTGTGTTGGGTTGGGTTGAGTTAGAGAGAGCAAGATTTTCAGATTTTTTCTGTTCATCTTCTATTCTCGTTCTCTCCTTTTCTCATTGGCAATGGTTTCCGAATTTTATGATGTATTTATGATGATGTTAATGCGTGTGTACAAATCTTAAACTTTAACTCAAACTTAACTGAGGGTTTAGCTTATGTTGTTTTATTCACGAAAGTAGCTAATAGCAGATAGACACGCGGAATATTAATAACTTATTTTTCTTTAGAATAAAAAAACACTTTTTGGTAATTCTTATTCTGTAATAAAATTTTTATTTATTTTAATTATATACATAAATTTTGGTGAAATTGTAGATGAGGTTAGGCCTCGGCAAAACACGACTAAACCCGTCAAAATCGTCCAAATCCGACCGATTTTGGTCGATTTTTTTGTTGTTTTTAAGTGGGTTAGGTTGGGTCGGATTATGGGTTAATCCATGAAAATCGAATAAACTCGTCCAACCCGACCTGCCTACTTTTAAAAAAATAAAAATAAATAAAATGCACTTTGGTCTTTGTATGCTCAGCTAATGAGGATTGAATAAGATAACAAATAATTTTATTTATTTGTTTACTGTTTAATCTTGTTTATTTAAAATTTAGTATAATAGAAAATTGGATGACTTTAATCATTGTTAACAAGTTATCCCAACCCGACCAATCCAGGTCGACTGATACTTGATTAGATTGGGTTGAATTGTGTTAAATTTTGATCAAATCGATCGTGTTGGGTTGGTTTGGATTAAGGCAAAAACCGACGGAACCCAACCCATGCCAACCCTTGAGGTCCAGAATCTTTTTAAAAATTGCAGAATGATCCCGTATTTTTTAATTTTTACATTACCGTCTCAAATGTTTTACAAATATATGCAGCATCGGGTCCTTTAGAATGTAACTAAATTATTTAGGGAAAAAATAACAATTCTCATCTTTCCCAACCAACCATCGTCTCCCAAATGCAATCATGCCATTTCATCGCTACTAACACCATTCCACCCTATTGTCCCTTCCAATTTGTTGACGTGAAATCAAGAATATTTTTTTACTACTTACGAGGACACCAAATCCGAGTGAAAAACCACCACACTTCAGGTCAAGATCCTCACTAATTGGTTCCATTCCCTTGTGTGGGTGGTAGTCGCGATCACAATGTGGTGGTGCAGATTTGAGTTCGAGTGCGGTAGATTACATTTTTTTGTTTTTTGTTATGTTTCTTTTTTGGAATTTTTTGTCAATTAATGGACTTTTGGATTGTTACCATCCAAAAGTTCTTGTGTTGCATATCCTTTGCAAACACCTGGTAAGGCCGTGTTAAATATAGAAGGATTAGCACTCGCTACAATATTTGATTTTTCAATGGATTATTTAAAAGTAATTGTAATCATGTTCCAAATGTTCCTTTATAAAATGGTTTTTTTAGTTAAATGAGGACGGTACCTCAAATATTTTATTAATGTACTCTCACTTGTGACGGAGGAATATCGTGATTATATGAGCAAATAATGATAACAGTAAATGAGGTAGTATTACTTCATTTACAATGAAAATAAATGATAATTGTAAAGCTGTAAAAAGGGAGTACTACTTTCCTTACAATAAGAATTAATACAAATGAAGTAAAAAATAAGAATAAAAAATAAAAAATCATACTCTAATGTTGGGCAATCAATATCTATCAATTTGTACGAGTGCCCTAATATGTCGTATGTTCCTTTACAAAATGGTTTTTGGCTAGTATCGACTTAATGAGATACACCGGCTTGAATTAAGATAAAAAAATTTTATCATTTAAACGAATTAATTAATTTATCAAATATTTATTTATCGAGATTTTAATATAAGTATAATACGTAAATATTATAGAGCATCTGAAGACGCTAATTTGCTTATCTTTCTTTCAATACAAATTTGCTTTCAAGGATTCTTACGTTGTATTTTAAAACATAATATCAATAAGAGTGTGTTTGGTAGGGATTTTTAGGAGAAAAATTGATTTTTGAATAGTAATATGATGGGAAATGTGTGGTTGAAAAAGAAGAAAATATTATTGATGTGATAGAAAATATTATTTTATTGAAGAATGTGTGGTTGAAAATGAGAATTAATTAGTATCGACTTAATGAGATACACCGGATTGAATTAAGATTAAAAAAATTTATCATTTAAACGAAATAATTAATTTATCAAATATTTATTTATCGAGATTTTAATATAAGTATAATACGTAAATATTATAGAGCATCTGAAGACGCTAATTTGCTTCTCTTTCTTTCAATACAAATTTGCTTTCAAGGATACTTACGTTGTATTTTAAAACATAATATCAATAAGAGCATCTCCAATAGACTATCTATTTTTAAAAAACATATTCTATCATTTAGAGAGTATCTATAAATTTAAAGAGTTAAAATTTTTAAGTACTCCAAAAGCTCTTTATATTTAACACTTAATTTTACTACTCCAAAAAAATATTTATTATTTTTGTTTATATTTTATTTTAACTAGTTTTTCTTTAAATTATTTTATTATTTTCTTACATTGAAAATTGAACCATTTTGAATGCATTTAATTATAAAGAGTGAGTCTGACTCTCCAAATTCACTCTCTAAGTAAAAATGTTAATATACCCCTGTTTGACACCCGTTTTTGACAAAAAATAAATTCTGGAATAGTGATTGATGGAAGAATGTGTAGTTAAAAAGTAATGTGAATTTTTGGGTTTATGTGTAGTATGATTTTATTGATAAAATGTGGTTGAAATGAAGAAAGAAAAAAAATGAGAATGGGAATGAGAAAAAATGGGTGTCAAACAGAATCTCTTGGAGTATGATTTTTAATGCTAGACTCTTTAAAATAGAGAGCATCTCATGTTTAAAGAGTTACTTGGAGATGCTATTACTTGTTAAATCCTTGTTTGATTCTTATTATTTTTAAAATATATTTCTCTCTTTCTCTTCTTTTCAACCACATATTTTTTAATAAAATAATATTATACGCAAATTTAAAACTTTTTCTAAATTTTCTAATTATATATTCTCTATCAATCTACTATTCTAATATACTTTCTTGAATAAAAAAGGACTCGAATAGGCTCTAAATAATAGCTTTTTTTTTTTTGTTATGAGAACAATAAAGCAAACGTTCCTTTATACTTTGTTTGGAAAAATAGGGTCAAGAAGAATCGTCAATGTGCTAAAGAGATTTGAGTACACAATGCAACTATTGAATCAAATTTTCTATTTTTGATAGTTTAAATTCTCTCTGACATAGAAATGCTTAGTGGGAAAAGACCCATCTCTAATTGTTTTATTTATTTTTTAGATGATATGATATACTTTTTTGAGAGAGCGGAAAAACTTATTTTAACAATAAGGAGTGATGTAATTAATTGATTTAGGTCTCGATTTTTCAACAACTTTTAAAAGCATTTTTCAATAGACTCCCTTAATAAAATGCTCTTTATTTTAGAAAATCAATACTTAAAAATGAGTTCCAATAGACTCTCTATTTTAAAATTTTAAAATAACATGTTTCAATACTTTAATTCTTAAACTATTCAAATCATATTTATACCAATTGGTTATTTTACATATAATAAATTATGTTAACATACTCTATAAATGCCCGTCTAGGAGAAATTGTTGGAGCCAAATAATTCATTTTTTTGACCTTTAGGCTCCGACAAGTGGGCCCCATTGTGAATCAAAAAAGTCAAAATTTGCTACCAACCCATTTGTAACGGTTGGAAATTTGTTTAAAATCTGTGAAACAAGCACTGCTAGACAAGCCCTAAATAAAGATTCTCTTGAAAATGTTCTTATAAATTATTTTTAAACGAGAGCCAAACATATATAATTTGATATTAAATTCATAGCACAAATAAGTAAGTTTGAAAATTGTTTAATTCGTAATTTTTTTTCTTGTGAAATCTATTTTTTATTGACATATTTCATAAAACTTATAAGTATTGTCAGCATTATTTACTTATTTTAATTTACTTGTTATTTATAAATCAATTATAAATCACCCTTTTTAATGTAACTAAAATTCGTTCAAATTAAAATGACATTGAACTTTTAAAAAATTGTTCAAATTCAATAAAAAGGTCCCACCCATTGGGCCCATATAAAAAAGTCTCCAACTTGAATTTGACTTAAGTCCAAACCAATAAACCCGAGTTTGGTCAGTTTGAATTGGGTTGGGTATCAACCATGAATGTATTGATTTATGTTTGAATTATTGTCAAACCAAACATGTTGGGTTGGGTCCAACCCAACCCGCACCCAGCCCTAGTCACCATTAAGGATCAACAGTTAACATTCCCCCCATACTAACTCGAAATCCTAGATCCGCCTTTGATCATGATCATAACAACTTCTTGGGAGCCCGCTACATTTCATGGATGTTACTGGTCACCAAACTTTTAAAATTTGTTGCTTTAGTCACTAAACGTTTTTATGCATATAATTAGGAGTGTCAAAATGGTCGAGTAGCTGTTGGCTCAACTCGTCAAAACTCGGCTCATGGACAACTCGAGCGAGGTTTCATGTGAGCAAAAAAGTGAAAAAAAATAAAACTCAAGCTCGGCTTGTGCTTGAACAAGCTCGTGGGAAGATGGGCCAAACTGACTCGACTTGGCCCATTGTCACTTCTACAGACTACATATAATGTTGCTTATTATCACGTATCACTTAGTTGATTTTACAAATTTAGCCTCTATTTGGTTTTGATAAAAAGTTACATTTTTAGTATATTTTGATAAAAGTTAATAAAAAATATGATTGAAAATCTTGGTACACTCGTGGAAAATCATATAAAATTTCCAGATCCTGAACATTACTGGTATACGATCATCATTAGATCATATGACTAGTGTATGATCATGATTAGAACTTCTTGGAAGTGTGGTCGCCCGCTACTGTTCATGGATGCTATTGGTCACCAAGCTTTTAAAACTTGTTGTTTTAGTCACTACGCATTTTTATGCATAGTTGTTTTCTTATCACTACGCATTTTTATGATATATATATATATATATCATACATACATACATACATACATATATATATTATTTATTTATTTATTTATTTTTATTTTGATTGAAAATCTGAAATTTTCAATTAACACATTCTTTTGAAAGATTGTATTATTGAATAGTAGATTAATGGAGAATATGTTGTTAAAAATGAAAAAAAAATAATTGACGTGATGAAAAATATTATTTTATTAAAAAATATGTATTTAAAAATGAATAGAAGAATGAAAATGAAAAGAATAATCTGTACCGAATATGGCCTTAAAAGCCAATCCACAAGCCACATAAAGCCCAATTAAAAGCCAATCCCCAAGCCTTTTGTGTAACCGAAGGGACCGGGGCGGACAAGGGTTATTTCCTTGGTATTTATTCGCAGTAAAAATGGGGAACAATTTATCGTGAAAGTGGGAAACCGTAGCACCGATTTTTCTTGTGTTGGCGTGATTTCTAGAAGGATAACTCAAATTGGAAGGTAGAATCAGATTTATTCGTGTAAAAAGGGGTTTTATAGTTTATATTTTGATTTCGCACTCCTTTTGAGTTGATTGTTGTGAATGATTTAAGATTTTTTTTTCCCTTCCAAACCTGTTGTTCATTGATGGTAATCTTCGTTAGCAACAGCTATTTGCTCAACGCCCATCTTGAATTTTTGATGTGATTGTTTATAGTTTTCTCCTTACCTTTAGAACCGGCCTCGGCTGCCCCTCATTTGGAGTCGGTGAAATTCCTAGGACCAAAATCAATTGGAGGCGGTTCCCCCCAGTAGAGCCCAGGTGGCTCCGCCCGTGCTACTAATTTGGATTTTGAAATTTTTGATGAATAGAGCAGTAGTAAACTGAAACTGAAATCATAGTGAATTTCTGGGTTTTAAAATTATCTTTTCCTGGTATTCATTCGAGAAATCTGAAATATGTTAAATAATCAATTAACCGTCGTAGCTTGTCCAAATCTTTGCTCACTCTCTCTTGTTGTTGCTGTGTTTTAATTCTTAATTTTGTAAATATGTCAGGGTTTTGAAGAAAAGTGAGCCCAAGAAATAGATGGCTTCTTCGGATGACGAAGGTGAAGCACCACCACGTTCTGTAGGAATCTACGAATTTGTGGATGGTGAGGATGAACCCATTTCATTTTCGGAGTTACCAATTCAGTGGAAGAAAGTTGAGACTTCAGATGGGAAGCAAAAGCAGATCTTCTTACGTGGGTCTTTTGATAAAGGACTTCAGAAAATCTATAAGCAGGTTGTAGCTTGGAAGTTTGATCTTTCTAATGAGAAGCCTGAGATTTCGGTGTTAACGAAAGAGAATTACTGGATCAGGCTTCTGAATCCAAGGAAGGCTTTTGAGAATATAATTAGGACGATCTTAATCACGGTGCACTGCCTACATCTTGTGAAAAGGAATCCAGGAACGTCCCACAAAGCTTTGTGGGATCATTTGGGTAAAGTCTTCAGGTTGTTAATTCAGACTTTGCTACATGTTCAATATCTCTTTGTTTTATACTGCATTTTTCACATTTTTGGCCACTTGTAGCTTGTTTGAGCCCAGGCCTTCTGAAAATGATCTTGTAGACCACGTTTCTTTAATTGATGAAGCTGTTAAGAGAGATGCAACATTGGCAAAATCAAAGGTCTGCACTTGCTCTTTAATATTGCCTGACTCGAAAACATGAAGAATTAACTAGTCAAGTTGTTGCAATTTCATCAAGCGCTTGTGGAGTCATAATTTATTCACTTCCTCATTTGTAAAAATGTGTGCATATTGTAAAGAGGTTGATCCAGAGGAGGTGAAATCATCTGTTAGCTTGCTTGAAGATCGTGTGGTCAAAACTCACTCTTTCTTCCCTGCTTTTGTAGTTGAATTTTCTATCGCATTCCTTCCTCTATGATTTAACCTTATGCATGAAGCCAAAGTTTGTTTGGCATGAGGCATAAACTAAAGATTAAATAGTTCATTGTGTTTTGGGTATCGTGTTGCTTTAATGTGAGGTATATGGTGAATTATTTATGCTATAATTTTACCTTTTTTATCATTTTCTTTTTGTTCTAATTATTTATACACTGTAATGAGGTTTTTTAACTATATTCTTCTAACAGCTTTTAGTTGAATTTCTCGAGAAGCCTACTAAGAGGAAAGCATTTAATGAGGTTCTCTTCCCCCTCTCTCACTCATGCAAACGGCAATACAACTTGATTCAACAATCAGTATTGACCACATGACTTCTTTTAATGTAGGACATTGGAACCGCATCAAAGTCCGATTTTATCGTCTACGATGATATGATTGGTGAAAATGAAGATGATATGTCTGATGAAGAAGATAACTGTTTTGACACGGTATGTGCAATTTGTGACAATGGTGGAACTCTTTTGTGGTACGTCCTTCTTGCCTTTAGCTTTGCATTTCTGTAACATTCCGTTTAAGTGAAAATTGTTATCATGTTTGGTTTATAATAGTACCAAACATCCTCCTTCATTAGCATTATATCCTCTGTGTGCCTGAAGTTATGGTTGTACATAACCTATAGTGAATGGGAAAAATAGTCCTAACGCTCTTTAGTCTATTTGTTATTCTATTTTAAAAAAGAAAAATAAAAGAAATAAAATGATAAAAATGAAAAGAACACACAAAAAAAATTTATTTCATCTCTATCTAACCACCCCATCCCTCAAGCCCCAGCATCAACTCCATGTCTCTGCCACACCACCACTACTGCCGCCACCTAGCCCTCACCAGCCATCACAAACTTCCAATTTTTTAATTTAATGTTCCCATTTGTTTTTCCTGGTTCTATCATAGGCGATGATTGTCTACACACATACAAATAAAGGAATATGGAGATGCCAAAAATTGAAGGGTGGAGAAGGGAACAAATCAAGGGAGAGGGGGCAATGTATATATGGTTTTTAAAAATTTTAGTAATTTTTCCAGCCCATAACTTCTAAAAAATGCACACCTTAAGTAGTTGGATTTGATGCAAAGATGTATATCAATATGTACAGATGTACAAAGCATTAATTGTTTCTTATTTTATTTGAGAATAAAATGTGGAACGGCACTTGACTTAATCTTCAATGCTTTTTAAAATTTAAAAATTAATAGAATCGTCTGTTTGGATTGCAAAAAGAAACTTACTTATCAGGCCAAGGGTGAGGGTTTTGACATGGGCTAGAATCTTCTAAACGCTAGTTTACGTATGTTAATTTTGCTTTTTGTGCAGAATGTTTAGGTAAATTCTTGTTTACTTTATTGCGTTAACTGTAATTTGAATGATATATCACTATGTTTTCAAAACTAAACCCGGACATTGACCTAGAAAAGTTAAAGGGCCAAGGGTCGAAAGTCGAATCTGATTATAATAAATAAGTATATTTGTATACCACAAAAATTTGACAAAGATGATTTAATTCTTCAAATTTATTATTCTATAGACACACTCATTATTCTACGTTCAGTTTTCCTTATGTCCACTTCTAATTTTAATAGAAATCAAGAAAAAAATAAAAAATCAAATCAAATGAAAAAGATAGAATAACTTGTAATGATAATAGAAATTGAATTATGTTCGGTTTTAAACCTTCAGACATGTAAAGTCATCCTGCATCTAAAACCGTTGGAGTAGTGAACAAGTTTCTTATAGAATGAGTGGTGGATGTATTAGTTAAGTTCTGGAGTCAATAATTGAATTCTAGGCCTTTAACTGCTTTAGCACATTAGTATATAAAGTGTTCCTAATGAAAACCCTAGCCGGCAAAACCGGTACCTTTTAAATCGGTTTACTGTTGAACTGTTTTTTTGCTGCTTTTTCCTCAGTTTTTTGTTATGGTGGTTATAGACAGTTACTTAACTGGTTTAGTGGCTGTTCCCGGTTGAACCGGGTGTCTGTTTCGGCTCGGTTTTGAAAACATAGTATATCTTTGTAGTGCATTTTGTTGTCTTTGTTATTAAGGCTCTGTTTGGTACATATTATTTTTTTCATTCTCATTCTTCTACTCATTTTCAACCACACATTCTTCAATAAAATAATATTTTCCATCACATCAATAACTNTTCCATCACATCAAGAACTTTGCCTTCATTTTTAACCACACATTCTCCATCAATCTACTATTCAATAATACATTCTTTCAAAAGAATGTGTCCCAAACACACTATAAATGTTATTTCTTGAGACATTTTGCATTATTTTCTATCGTTTGATGAACTGTTTCCACTTTCTGCAAATAATAATCCGTCTCATCTTCTCTCTTATAACTATCACTTGTTGGCTTGATCAGTTGTGAGGGGAAATGCATAAGGTCATTTCACCCTACTGTTGAGGATGGTGCTGATTCTGAATGTTCGTCTCTTGGCTATACCCATGGAGAAATGGAGGTCTACTTCCCTCCTATGTTGATTACCTCTTTGCCTTCTCTTTTTCTTAGAAGTTTTTGTTTCCCTAATGAATTTTGCTTCAGACATTGTATGTTTCAATTTCAGGCAATGAAAAACATTGATTTTTATTGTAAGAATTGCGAGTATAAGCAGCACCAGTGCTTTGCTTGTGGGGAATTGGGGTCTTCTGATGAATCATTTGGTGCTGAGGTATGAGTTTATTAGAAAATGTTGGACCATCACTTGTCTGGTTTTTGTAAAGTGACACTTGTTTAATTCTCGTGAAAATGGTAACTTTGTAGTTTGTATGAGACACAGGGTTCATTTGGTACGACGGTTTTGAGTAGTGTTTTGAATGAGCTTTTATTAGTAGTTTTTCCATCTTCCTTTTTTGTATGCTTGGACTTTCTGCAATTTACAGAAATAATAATTATCTTCACATCTCATGTTGACCCAATGTTGTGAGTTTCCATCTCGTTGTTAGTATTATCATTGGGTCCTGTAACTTATCTGCGTCTGAATCATAAAGATATTGTCAAATTCCTATGTTAGTTTTTAGCTCTCTATGGCCTTGCATTCTTCTATATATGAATCTCAAAGGTTTTCTTATCCCGATATTTTACAGGTCTTTCGTTGTGTTAATGGAGCTTGTGGGCACTTTTATCATCCCAGTTGTGTAGCAAAACTTCTCCATAAGGGAAATGAAGCTGCAGCAGCAGAACTCCAAAGAAAGATCGCTACTGGGGAACAATTTGCATGCCCCCTTCACAAATGCCACGTCTGTAAGGAATTAGAAGTAAAGTCTGATCGTAAATTGCAGTTTGCTGTATGTAGGCGTTGTCCTAGGGCATATCATAGAAAATGTTTGCCAAGGTGATCCTAAACTCTATTTGAAATTTATTTGAGACAATGATCCAATCTTGTGGTCTCGTTTAGAGTTCTAAAGTTTTGGTTTCATTGACCAGTGAGATTGCATTCGAAGATGAGAATGAAGACATTATACAAAGGGCTTGGGAGGGTCTTATACCGAACCGTATATTGATTTACTGCTTGTGAGTGTTTGTGCAACTTTCTAAATTGAATTTACTGGTTGTAGTATGCAAATCATTTTTATTGACCTAATTGATCCTTATCAGGGAACATGATATCGACGAAGATCTTTGTACCCCGGTTCGAAATCATATAAAATTCCCTGGTTATGAGCAAAACAATAAGAAAAAGCAACCATTAGAAGCATACGACAAGCAGAAAGAAGTGACAAAGCAAAGAAATTTAGCTTTAGAAGATGCTGTTGGGAAGAAAAGTGCTGCAAAACCGTCAAAAGGGGTTGAAAACTTATCTTCAGCAGTAAAACAGGGCTATCTTTCACAAAAGAGAGGGGATAAATTGTCTGGACAATTGTCTTTCAAAAAACAGAAAGTGGCTTCAAACGACAGTTGTCGGGAGAAACCAAATGAATCTTTGGGGGAGCAGTTATTTGCCAGGTTTTACAGTACAGATTCGGACTCAGTTAAGTCAAGGCAGGTGGAAAGAGTTGATGGTGAAGAGGAGTTAAGTCCGAAGTTTAAGCCTAAAGGAACAAACAATTTGTTGAACCTTGATGCCGAAGCAAAGAAAAGGTAATCTTCCTTTATGTCCCATGGTTATCCCGCACCCGGGGAGACTAGGGCAACACCATGTTAGTACGCAATGCAATTTCTATTATTAATGCTGTTAATATTATTGTCATGCAGAATATTGGCTATGATGAAAGATGCTTCATCCTCAGTAACTCTTAAAGAAATTATATATAAGCATAAAGCACCATCAACACATATCCATTCTTCAAAGTATGCAGTAGACAAGAATGTAACCTTGGGGAAGGTTGAGGGTTCAGTTGAGGTATATATTCAAGATTTTTTGGCCTTGTTATGATTATTTAATTTCATTGGAATTTTAATTCATGTGCATTTACAGGCTGTACGTGCAGCTTTGCAAAAAGTGGAAGCAGGCTGTGTTACAGATGCAAAATCCGTTTGTGGAACTGATCTGCTCTACCAAGTGATGAAATGGAAGGTAATTGTCCATGCTCAATGCTTAATTTTCGGTGGTGTGTTTTTTATTGTCTTTGGATCCATAATCGATGATGAATTATTTATCTTATGTGAAATTTCTTTATTTTTTGTTTGAGCTGTCTTATATTGGTGAAATATGACCTCCCAAATTGTATAACCTTGGATGATCTCTCCGCTTATTGGTTTTCAGATGGATCGTTTCATGTAATAAAGTTTTTCTGGGCTACATTTCTCTAATTTTCCTATAGATTGATAGGCTTGAAATCTTCGTTTTGCTCTGGGTAGCTAAAAGAGTACTGTATATTCATGAGGACTCATGCTCCCCAAAAATGAATTTCTATTAATTATTTTTACCTTGATAACTGGAAAAAGGTAGTAACTACAATGACATAACTTGGAAGCCACAAAATTTCATGAACCAGATAAACCTGAAACCTGAGTTTGAGCATTGTTTAGTGTCACATAACAAATTTACTTGGCTTACAGTTGCAGCAGCAGAAAGGCTGGCGACTGCTCTATTTGCTGACTATCTTCTATGGAGTTTTTCATGAATTATCAATAATAATTTATAGATCCACCAGGGATTTACTCTGATCGGTATCCTTCAGAACACATATTAAGATATAGTCATCATAGGCGCTATTCACTTGTATACTTTTCATAATCGTTGACGGTAGAAGAAGATGGCCACTGCTTAGTGCTTACTGGGTATGATTATCACTATTCCGTGTATATAAAGATGATATACCCAATGCTAGCCTAATGGTCAAGGATAAAAATGTTTTGACTGTGGAAATAATATCTTGTTTTAATCAGTGTTCGAAAACGCGCGCAAATGCCTAGGCGCGACGCGCGTAGAAAACGCGTCAAATTAGGCAATGCACGTAAAAATGCGGTCAACGATTTTTGTTGATCGCCTAGGCGCGCCTAGGCGTCTCAATGCGGAACAATGCACGCATAGGCGCGGAGAGCCTATGCTCGCATTGAGACGCCCCAATTTTTTTTTTATATGATGTAAAAAATTATTATTTTTAATATAAAAATCTATTTATTATATTAAAATAATATTAAAAGTACGAAACGCATTATGACGCCTATTCTCTGCATTGACACGCTTAAACTTGTGATTCTTGATTCTCGACCTCGACGCATCGCAACGCATTACGCATTTTAGAACACTGGTTTTAAGTGTACTGGACCAAAATATATGTGTCAATTACAACTACTTTGGCTTAAAAGGTTTAGCTGTTTCTTATTGTTTGAGCTGGTTCTGGGCTTCCCCGAGATTGCAGTGACATTTTTTTATGAAAAAGAATTTTTTTGGCCTGTGTTGTGATAGGCAGAATGACATGCCATTCAAATTCGGTTGATATCGAAGTGAGCATACAAGGATTTTTGTTTTGTATTTATATAGTTTGTATGAGACTGTTTGCAATTGCGCATTGGACCATTAAACATGGTTTCTTCTTCTTAGCAGAAACTTCTTATTACCCGTGCACTTCAAATTTATGATGTTCTTGCAGCGTGTTATTGGTTTTCATATGGTGCTTCTTTCCTTTAGTGCTCTGAAGTTCATAGTTTTGGGGGCCGTGCTTTTCGGACCTGCTACTTCATTTTTGCAGGACAAGCTTAAAGTTTATCTTTCTCCATTTCTCTATGGCATGAGGTACACGTCCTTTGGTCGCCACTTCACCAAATTGGACAAGCTTAAAGAGGCAAGTTCATCTTTTTTTTTTCTTTTTTATTTATTTTATCATTTTTAAATAAAACATTTTAGGTTGGCTTGTCTTATTTTCATTTTTCACACATTCAAGTTTTCTGCTGCAAAACTTCTCAGCTTATTGAACTCGCAGAGTACACGATTTTTTTGTACTGACCTTTATTCATGAGAAAGAAGACACGTTCATCGACTTTCTACGAGCCATGAATTAATCTGTTGCAATTAAGTTTTTAGTGAACGAGAACTTTCAACGTATGGGGTTTTTTTGGCACCCACAAATTCTATAAACAATGCATGTGTGCATAGTTTATGTCATCTCTAACTCTCTGTTTACAACATTGGATATGGATCCTACTTTCTATTACTCTTGAAGTTGCATGTTTAGTATTTAGTGACTATGAGCTAAAGGTCCTGTGCTTCTAGTAGGTGTTCCATCAATGTCTTTTCCATTGTACGAGGTTTGAAATAGACTCTTTTATTTATCAAAAAACATGCTGATGATCTACTTTCCCCTTGCAGATAGTTGATATTCTCCATTGGTATGTTAAAGACGGTGACATGGTAAAAGCCTAATTTATCCTTTTATCATGAAATGGGCTATTTTGTGTGGTTTTACTGTTTTACTTCTGCATTTATTTTCTTTCTTTGTTGGTTGGGTTCTCTTGCTACTCGGATCTTCAAGTACTGCAAATTTGAACTGCACCGAGGAAATAAATTTTCATTCTTGTCCTGAAAAGCACTGTTAAATTTTCCTATAAAGCGTGAGAATTGAAATAATGAAGATATAGGTTATGTGCCACAATAGCTATGATAAAAATACAGAAGTTGAAGTTATTCATTCGATTGCTTCCTCTTTATGAATGGGTAAATGGAATGTTTGGGCTTTAATAATGAACATGCAGCATCAGAATTACAGGAGTAGCAAAATATCAGGGAAATTTGATCTTTGTATGACTACAATATCAAGAGGGACTGTGGATTGGGATTTCAGGTTCTACTTGAGTTACCTTACCTTTCCTTCATGGTGCAAATTTGTACTTGAGAGCTTTTGATATGTATCGTATGCTTTTGTTACAATTTTTAAATTTCTTGTGTTGATAACTCTATGCTTTTGCTTGAAGTTTCAAACTTCTTAAATGCAATAGAATCTGGGCTGCTTCATATTAACTTGAAATCTATTATCTAAGTGAGCTATATTAAAACCTTTATTTCTTATTACTTCTATTTGTAACTTCTTATCTTGTGTTTTTATTTTGTATCAGGTTGTTGACTTTTGTTGCGGTTCGAACGATTTTAGCTGCCTTATGAAAGAGAAGCTTTATGAGATGGGAAAGATCTGTTCTTACAGGAACTATGACATTGTACAGGCAAAGGTGCTGTCCATATTCACCACCATATATAATTATGCAAACTGTCATTAGCAAATGAAAATGTGAATGGGAGATGATGATTTCTAGTTGCTGAAAATGCATTTAGGGCCTTTTTATGATTTTTAAGCTAAACCATCAGGTAACCTTTTCTAGATGCTTTTGTGTTACAATGACGACATATATGCTCGTTGAGCCATGTTATGGCTGATAACTTTAACCATCTCTAATATAGTCCGTCTCATCAACTTGGCTTTCCTTGGTTCGTGTTGGGACGCTATTTAGAACCACTAATGTTACCAGTCTAGGTGGTACTAAGTGACATTATATGAGAGGTATAATTAAATGAGTCACATAATTTTACCTTTAATTGAGTGTAACACACAGTGCCACTTAGAGTTGTGTTTTAGCACTAGTGGTGCTAGAAAACATTATTCTTTTGAAACTAGCCATGATAAACTGCTCTAGACTTCATATTCTACATATTTTCTACTGCAATTATGTTGTTTGGATGGTTACATTACCTTTGCGCATCAGCTAAGCTTATATTGTGAATAACTCTTCAATAAACACCTATACCCGATGTATAGCACACATCTTATGAAAATACAATTTATTTTTTGTATTTATCATTTTTTCACTGGCAATTCACCTTTATAGGCAGCCCATGGCCTACCGAGATTTTTGATCTTCAAGACTCGTGAGGGTTATATTAATTTTTTTATGTGGTTCTTATTATTGTTGCCTACATTTTTCTTGTGATACAATTGGCGCATTTGAAATGTAATCTGCAATTGAAAAAATCCACTGTCCAAAATTACTTGGATGCAATAATGATGAAAAGCTGATCCTGAAGTCTATCACATATCTATGGTTAGATTGATTTTGGTGTCTTTTATGGTCTTTCCAGAATGATTTCAATTTTGAGAAGAGGGATTGGATGGAAGTCCAACCAAAAGAGTTGCCGCCAGGGTCGAAATTGGTGAGAAGCACTTCTCTATGTGCACAATTTGTGTTCCCTCGACAAATTCTTTACAATTGATTTCTATTTTTGGTCAGATCATGGGGCTGAACCCTCCCTTCGGAGTTAATGCAAGTCTTGCAAACAAATTTATCAATAAAGCTCTCGAGTTTAAACCAAAACTTCTAATCCTTATTGTGCCACAGGAGACACAACGGTATTTATCTAATATTTTCTCTCTTTACCCTACCCCTTGCCTCACCTTCCCGGTTGCGTGTGCCATTCTTTTCCCCCATTCTGTGAGGAGCTTCCCCAATTTCATTTTTTATTTTCATTTACCAGATTGGATAAAAAGGACTTTCCATATGATCTGATTTGGGAGAATGATCAAATGCTGGTGGGCAAAGTAAGTCGGTAGTTTTATTGTAGCTAATTCTGGATTAAATCTCTGGCCCCACCACCTTTTATCTGTTTTTTTTGAGATATTTTCTGTCTATTTCAGTCCTTTTATTTGCCTGGATCTGTTGATGTAAATGACAAACAAATGGAGGATTGGAATGTGAATGCACCACTACTATACCTTTGGAGTCATCCAGATTGGACACCTAAACACAAGGATATTGCTCAAGAATATGGGCACTTGTCCAAGGATCAAAAGAAGTCATCCTTGCAGGAACCCCTGTTAGAGAATGTCTCTGATGCTCCAGGGGAACGGAATAATCTAGATGAATATCCTGTGCTCCTGGGTGATGATAGGAATCTGGGTGATAGACGAGAACACCAGGAACAAGAAGCAAGGGTGACTACAAGTCACAATGAAGAATTGCCACATGACATCTCCGTCACTGAAGGGGATAGGAATCGTGGGCACCAGAAGAATCAATCTGAAGGAAATTCAGAGGAGTTTTGTGGCAAAAGTAAAAGGAAAAGGAAAAGAAGACAGGCTATGTCTCTGGAGGACAAATCCACTGGCAAGCATTCTGTCTCCTGCCAGCCTTACCCTAACGTGGATGGTGGCAGATTATCTGATCACCGTTCAACGAAATCTCATGAAAGACACTCTCACATGGATGTTGGGATGGAAGATGACAAGCATTCTGGGAATAGTAGCTTCTCTGTATCACACTCCTACTCACAAACAAGACATGGTGAAACTCTGGATGATGATTTGGTTAGGAAGTACCTGTTGCATAGTGAGGAGCCTTATCCGAGTTTGACCAACAGGCGGTCCCACACTCCTAATCCTGAATACGGGTTTAGGACCTCAGATCCATCACTGGGCTATCCAAGAGGGACCACAGACATCCATGGTTATAGATCCTATGAGATGGAGAAGTATGGGAGGGATGTAACTATCCATTCAAATGTAAATCTGCTTGGAAGACGTGATCATCCTCATTCTTGGACTCCAAATTATACACCCAACCCTGGTCCTGGGTATCATCCTACATATGGACAACCAGTTCCATCAGGTAACTCCACTTATGGTGGTATGAATACCTCTACGATGCAACGATATGCTCCTCGACTGGATGAGCTAAACCATGGAAGGATTAATCATGTGAGGTCAGGACTGCCTTTGCCAGATATGAGTGGTGTATTCCGTCCTCCAGTTCCAAGGCCTGGATCATTAGGCTTTGTTCCTGGACCTCATCACCCGTTTCCTGAGCAGAATTCTTCAGGTTGGCTTAATGAGTAGGTATTCCTGCTGTCCCATAGTGTTATTAAGATGCTTGGTCTTTCCGGTTAGTAACTCAATTCTAACTGTTTGGGGCTTCTTTTGGTTATAATTAACGTTGACATAAACAATAACCGTTACTAAGCACTGAATTAGATGCTTCATATCATCTTCTCTGTTCATAATGGTATTTCTCGACATATAGAATCATAGATGTGTTGGATTCGGCCCCTTATACGATTCTCTTCTTTCTCATCATCGAGCTTTGGATGTCGTGAGAATTGGTGTGCCGTACGTCGTTGGATTCTCTATGGGTTTGGTGAATATTTTTATGGTAAAAGCATAATGGGACGGGCGGACTTGTCAATATCAGACTATTCTCTACTGTGACCGAGTTGCATGAATATCATCTTGTATTCTCCCTAGACGAAGTGAACCGAATTACATCCTGCACAAATACCAGCTAAAGAATTGAAACGTGTGATAAAATTCAATGTTTCAAACTTTCTAACTCGGATAATTACAGTCATAGTTAACTTTGACCAAGGCCCCCTATTCTCTACCCAACCTGCCCCCCTCCATTTTATCTCCATAGCTCTTCTCCCCATTAAAACGAAAAAATCCCCACCTCTTCAATCAGATTCAAATTCGCAAGTAGCTGTTTTTGCTCTTAAGGTTGCCCTATTTGGCTGTAATTGTTCCTATATACGCATATAGGGAATGCATACATCCGTATGTAATCTTGGCTCTGTATTGTTTCCATATTCGTACAATCATCACACTTGCAAGGACGGAAAATACTTTGATTCTGATAATCAAAACGCGAGCACTTGGATAGAAGTGGTATAACTTTGGATCAAAGTGGTGATGAAGGCTAGAATTCATCTCAAAATATAAATTCGTCCGAATTCGGGCCCCTTGTAGCCGAAGAATCGTTATATGAGAAATGTGACTTTGTGATTGTTTAAGAAAATTACAATGAGACTATAATGACGAGGAGTAAAGAGGTACACATGATAAAATTAATGTCGTATTTTAACTTTAAATTATAAAGACATTGTAATGTTAACCCAAACAAGCACAGTGTCACATGGAATTTTACGAAGAGAAAATTCAAACTAAACACGACACAACACGGCACTCAGAAACTTTGTTTCTTTAGAAATAGGATAAGTTGTGGAAATGTTGCATAAAAACTGTAGTTCATTATTATAATTTTAATATGTAATTTGAAAAGGAAGTTTAATATGAATTCAAACTCAAATCGCTTGTCGTTTTATTGTAGTACATGATTTAAAGCCAGAGATTACTAAATTTTTAGTTTGAAGCAGATAAAAAGCAATACTTGGTATGTTATGTCACCGATACTTAGTAGATCATTTCTCTCCTTAATAAACATTAGTTAACATAACGAGACAATATAATGAGCAAGATCTTAACTCGTTTATATTTTTTAATATTGTTCTCTTCTATCAAATCGACCCCCGATGTTAAACTATGTCTATGGATATGTATGAATATGTAGTAATAACACGCAACGTTTACAAGACACACACATGCAAATAGAACGCAACAATACTCACGAAGTTGGGCTACGCCAGGCTCGTTACGAGTAGAGCTCGGTGAGAGATGACTAGAACAACGAATACAAGGACGAGAATAAGCAAAACCTTGAAGTGAGCCATTTTACCTCAAGAGTGCAGAGAAGTGCTCAATAGTATAGGAAATTTTGCTTCAAGATTGGGTGAGAAGCTCAACGTGAATGTCTTCATAATTTACGGGTCATTGGTTTGGTGAAAATTAAAATCTAGATTTTAATTTAAGTCAAAGTCAACAATTAATTTTAACCACATTTTTCGTGGAATCTACAACTTTTCAACCACACATTTCATCAACTTTTATCGCAATTTGCTAAAAGTCTGATTTTAATATCCACACAATAGGTACTAAAGTTGCAAATGAACGAAACTATGGTAAATTACTTGGCTGGTACAATTTTAAATGAGAGTTATTTTTTATCTCGAACGTGGCATAAAACTTTTTCTTTCAATTTCTAACCAGCTACAGTGTTTGAAGATGAGGGTTTGTAGTTGTTCTGTTGTAAATTTCTTTTAATCCTTCATCTTACCTTGCAACGCTTATTCGTAGTGGATTTTCACCTTTTTGCTCAAAACCGTAATTGTAAAATGGACAGTATCACTATCGTAAGTCATTTTAAGTAGTTAAGATTATGATCGTGAAAAGCGTACGTGAAGCTTCACTAGTGAGACATTGGATTATTCTAAATACGAACACAAACACGAACATGAACTTCACTAGTGAGACATTGGATTATTCTAATCATCCTCAATTTTGGTTGTTAATGCTTTGCATGTCATAAATGAAACAATAATATTAATAATTTGTTCCATTAAAAGTTTTGTTCCGGTGTGGCCAGTCAAGGACTGCGCTGAGACAGCACAATCAGGTTGACACCTATAGATGGAATAAGAAAATAAGTCCAAGAGAAAGGGAAAGTTCAAGTAATATTTCTTGCTCAAAGACATCTACAAAACTAAAAAAATAAAAAAGATTACCTTTTGCAAAACACAAAGCATAATATTGAGACAGTAAATCAAACCAAGCGATGAGCTTGATTCCCACACTGTGGCAGTAGATGCCTTATTGCTCGAAAACACACAAAATACATAAAGCTGCTGATCATTGCTTTTACAATATTCAACATAGTATCCCCACTAAGAAGTAGGAAAGTGCGGCCAATGTCTTCATTGGTTTAATTTGGGTTTCTAGGGCTTAATTTATCCGGATTTAGTCTCGGTCTTGGCATGATGAGTCTCATCGCCACCGGCACCTTCGTTGCAGTATGGACCACGGCAGCGATGCCATTCACCTCCACGACACCATTCACGTCCACATTCACCTCCGCCACACCATTCACCATGGTGATGGTCCACTTGCACGCCACCCGCTTCAAAAATTTGAAGTTAAGAAACATCAGTGAAATTACTTATAACGAAAATTTAGAATGTGATCAGTATGCACTACTAGACGGAACAAATAGTATAATGAACATCTTAACTTCATTTTCTTCTTTATTATGCTATCTAATCTACCAAACATATTTCAATATTATTAGAGTGATGCATCAGTATTTTCACTTGGAAATTATACAACCGTTGAACCTTCTTTATCATGATTCGACCCTTATTTATAACCCAAGGTCAAGCACCCCCTCGGCATACTATTCATTGAACATCACAGTAGAAGCCATACACGGGGCACAAAGATATACAGAGAGAGAGAGATTGGTGAACAATACTCACGAGTTTGGGCAACCCCAGGCTCATTATCAGCAGAAGCTTTGGAAGAGAACACAAGAACTACAGTAAAGACAAGGCTGAGAAAAAGCAAAGTCTTGAAGTGAGCCATTTTTCTGAAGCAGAGGAAATTATATATGCTTCAAGATTGGATGAAAAGCCCAGTGTGAATCTCGCCATAATTTATAGGACAAGGTTGTAGACGCAGACTAGAAATGCTGACCATTGCAACCCTAACATAAAAACTCTAGCACACGAAAGAATTTAACTATTTTTGTTGGTGTTGACCCCAAAATGTTGCCAACAGATGCCGGGCCCACTCGTGCACACGCGAGCTTGATCCGACACGCTAATGCCGATCAACGGTCAAGATGGCTTCAGAAAATGGGCGTGGGAGTGGCTTAAAGGCACAAGACGTTTCCGTTCAGGCTTCCGGCAAGAAGTGTGACACGATTGTATAAGAAACCAATCGATAAAGAACAATTTGTAGTAGAAAATATGCTGTAAGGATCACTGTTGAAACGAGAGAAATGTTGCTCCAAATATTTAGTTTTTCCTTTAGAATTGCATTCCTCCTTTTGTGTTACATGGTGGGGGTATTTATAGTGTTACAACTCAAATGGTGACCTTTGGATCAACCTACACGTGGCCTCATCTCCTCGGCCAGGACATCAAGTCCTAGCTATCAAATTGACTCTCCTAACCTTACAAAGCATTAAATGCTCTTACATTGACAAGACAAGACACAAATATACTTTACACAAAAGTCACGTCAAACATTCAAATAAATATTTTTCATCATGAGTGAATCTTCACACGTGGGTCTTTACTAGCTGCAAAAGGGCCTCAGATAGTGCATGGCCACGAAACCAGGGCTTCTGTTAACAATGATGGCCTCGGATAATGGGCCTTGGCTAGCAATGATGGCCTCAGATAATGGGCCTCGGCTAGCAATGTTGGCCTCGGATAATGGGGCCTCGGCTAGCAATGATGGCCTCGGAATAAGGGCCTCGGTTGACACGTTGAGGCCAGGAAAACACATCCTGATTCAATTGGGTCCCACCGTCGAAATATGGTGCCACGTGGTGCTTCTATTTATGAGTCGTAAGAATAGTCCCCCAAGTCCAGGTATAATTATTCATATTATGCGTGGAGTTGATAGTCGATGTAGAAATGACTTACTTACTTTGGAGATATTTGAATTTGTTTTGGAGCTGAGGCAGAAAAATGCTGAACTGCCGAGGCTCATTTACTTTGAACATAGTTGAATTTATTTTTTGGAGCTGATAAAAATACTGAACTGCCGAGGCTTATTTACTTTGAACATAGCTGAATTTGTTTTTTGGAGCTGAGGCAAAAAAATGCTGAACTGCCGATGCTCATTTTTCATGCCTCAGTACATGTGAGGCTTGTGATATCTGCCTCGGAGAGCTAATAAGTTAATCCCTTTTGGGATCTGATCCTCTTCTTCGAAGAGCCCACGCTTCCCCACATGGTGGATGGTTCATCCATGTGGAGGCTTCTCTC